GTTTTATATCTAGAATCCTATAAGGTAATCCCCAAAAAGGAACTACTTAGGGGCCTATGGGTAGCCCCTTAACTGGGTTCTTGCTAAGGGATTTAATTTAAGCTGCCATAGTCGGGATCTATAGTACATAAGTGTAGTACTTGTACTTAGTAGCTGACTGAGTACACTTTAACCTTTGGGGAGAATATGACTCCTCATGAAACTGAAAGTGTACAATTTTTTGGCTTATGAACTCAGCAACTAAATACCTGTTTTGGGTTATATGTCTTATTACAGGATCCCAACCATAGAATCGGTCATCCAAAAAAAGGTACTACATTTAGGGGTCCATAGTTAGTCCCCTGTGAATCGAGTCCTATCGCCGTCCCGAAGCCCTAGACCCTCAACCCTAAATCCTAAACCCCTAAACCCCTAAACCCCTAGACCCCAAACCCCTAAACCCCCAACCCCCAAAACGGGTTCAGGGGTGTAGGGCTCCTTCAAGTTCCAAATGTCTGGCTTCTACTTTCGAGGTCCGGGTGTTTTTTGTGCCTCTTGTGGGCGTGCGGGCTTTGAGATGTGGGGTTTGAGTCTGACTTCCGGGGAGCACAATCTGCACTACATGCTTACCATGAGGTCCTGACGCGAGGCTTCAGTCTAGGACATTTTCAGGTGGGTAGTTACCGTTATGAGAGCCTTATAGAAGGTCTATTATACCTCATAGAAGCCTTATTATAGAAGCCCTATATACCCTAAACCCTAAACCCTATATACCCTAAACTCCCCCACCCTGTAGCTTCCTTTAGTTCAGGCTGTTGCAAGGTTTCGTGGCCGCCTTGGGGCACGCCTTCTTCTGGGCTCTTGTTAAGGAGTTTAATTTAAGTTGCCATAATAATAATAATAAAAATTATTGTTATATTGATAACTATAATAATAACAATAATAATAATAGGGATCTAATATAGGGTTTCCTTGTTATGGTAGCTTAATTTAATTAAAATCCCTTTAAACAAGAACCTAGTCTTCCACGATACTAATCTTAAGCCCAGAACCCTCAAAAGAAGTTGAAGTTACGGGACCCTCAGAGCCCTAAAATCCTGTAACGCCCTGAACCCGAAAGACCTTCAGCACTAAAACCGTAAACCCGAAATTCCGAGGGCTCTGAACCCTAAAGCCCTATAAAGTCCACGATAAAAAAGGGCTACTCTTGCTAGTACACCTGCATGGCCCTTGAGAAGGAGCCCTCAACCCGGAAGTGGCGCAATCTAATAAACCCTGTAAACCCTCATCCTCTCGGGCCACAGCCCGAGACTGGGTTCCTGTTAGGGACTTTAACTTAAGTTATCATAATAGGGGGATCTGTAGTAAATAGTCGGGGGTTCCTTATCATGGTAACTTATATCAAATTAAATCAAATTCCTGAACCCAGAAAAACTCGGAAACCCAAATTCTCCAAACCCAAACAGGCCCGAAACCCTGCAAGGCTGAAAGCCGTGAGCCCTGCACTCAGAAAGTCCTAAACCCTCAACAACGAAAGCCCCAAAACCCCCATAGACCCTAAACCCTAATTAACCCCTACACCCTACATAAACCTTATACACCCTAAATAAAGCCTATAAACCCTAAATAACCCCTAAACCTTGAATAAGCCCTAAACCCTAAAGGCTCCAAAGACAGCCCAAAACCCCCAAACATGCACAGCCTAGGATGCTCCATGAACCGGATCACGGAGGAGCGGGGGAGCGAATTTGAATCCGACTGCAAGTGCGCAGAAGGCCGTGGGATTTGGGTTTAGGGTTTAGGGTTCAGGGTTTAGGGTTTAGGGTTTAGGCCGTGGATTTGGGTTTCGGGCTTTAGGTTCAGGAGTTTGGGGGTGTAGGGGAGAAGTAGGGTTTAGGGTATACCTTAACCCACCAAAACCTACTTTTTTGTAGGGTCCCTACAAATTCCATATTAGGGTTTAGACTAAGAACCTATAACAAAAGTAGGTTTTGGTAGGTTAAGGTAGGGGTTAGGGCATATTGGGCTTGCAGGCTTTATGGTTTCGGGGACAGCTAGTGTTTAGGGGAGGGGCTTTGGGGCTTATGGGTTTTATAGGGTTGAGGGTTTGGGGGGTCAGTGAATGGGGTTTAGAAGCTCCAATTCTGAAATGGCACAGACGTGCTTTAGGGTTTGGGGTTTAGGGTTTAGGGCCACGGTTTAGGGTTTAGAGTTTAGGGTTTAGGGTTTAGGGTTTAGGGTAGGAAGGCGTGGACGTTCCGCGCATCTCACTTCATCTCAGCACGCTTCTGCTCCGGCTCCTACACTTGATCCTACTTTTGCGGTCTCCATTTTAGTTCCTTTGTGGACCAACCGATTCTATGGCTAGGATCCTGTAACGCAAACTTGGCCAGGCAAAAAAGATACTTTTGCCGTCAAGACCACCCCCTCCCCCTATCAAAACCAGCTTTCGTAAGGGGTGGGCATCTAAACGCCATCGGTGGGTCCGGGAGCATCCAATCTCAAGCCGTTTGAATCTTCAAAATGCTAAAGGCCCATATCATCCCTAAACCCTAAACCCCAAAGCCCTAACCCCTGGACCCTATTAGAACAATGCCACGCCGGAAAGGCTCCTTTATGTGCAATGCCACCGGGAGCCTTAGCTCAAGTCAAAGTTTGGTGGTGCCGGCGTGTCTTACGATTTAGTTATGGACAGTTATGGGTATCCAGAGAACCCAATACCCCTTAATTAAGGGAATATATACCTTAAATCATTATGATTTAAGAACCCTATACTCTAGGGCATATTCCTTAATTAAGGGGTATTGGGTTCTCTGGGCAGTTGCTCTAAATCAGGGTCCCTTTTTGTTAAAGGACTCCAGAAGATGGCGACACCCTCATAGAAAGGGCCCTCCCAAGGTTCCCTACTTTAGAGAACTACCCCTTTTGGGGGTTTCCGAAAATACGGGGACCCTAATATAGTACCCTACATAGCAGGGTCCTTATTATAAGGACCCCAAAATAAGGTACCCCCGATTTTCGGAAAGTCCCAGAGTCTCCATGGTAGTTCCTTTTTTGGGGTTACCTTTTTGGGATCCTCAATATAGAATTGGTTAAAGCCAAAACAAGGAACTAGAATGGAGACTATAGGTACCCATCTTGGGGATTTCGGTAGACTCAGGTATCTTCGCATTCTAGGTTTCCCAGTAGGACCCTTTTGCCCTTTTTCTTGTTGGGTTCCCTTATGAAAACCAAACAGTAGGAAGAAGGGCACCCTTATTTCTAAGGGGCTACTGGGAAACCTAGTATTGGCGGGTCCTGGTTGATTCTATTAGGGTCCCCTGCTTGCTGACTGTTCCAGATCATCTTAGTGCAGGTCGGGCTTCCGACTGAACCTTTACATGGTGTAATATGTGTGGTTTAGGGATTTGAGGTTTAGGGTTCACGGAGCTAGCACTGGTTACCGCGTTGAAGATAACATAGATCCTTCGATTTTGCTGCCAGCATCATATCCCGTTTTCTCTCGGCGGTGCATTCCCTGCAAGACGGGTAAAAGGGGTCCCATAATAGCGCCCAGTGCGCAAGCAGGAGGACCTTGATAGGGTCTTGCATGCTGTCCCTGAGGAGATAATGTACCCTGAACCCTAAACCCTAAACCCTAAAACCCTAAACCCTAAACCCTACTACTCGGGACTACGAGGGATGCATATTGCTTCAGCCCTCAGCCCTGAACCCTAAACCCTGAGCCCTAGACCCCTAAACACTAAAGCCCGAACTCCTAAATCCTAACCTCTAAACCCCAAAGCCCTAAACCCGAAGCCCTAAACCCTATAAATTAACCCTAGACTCTGACCCAAGAACCGTGACCCGACAAGGGCTTATAGAGGGAGGGCGAGAATCTGGCGTAGATAGTCGATGCCCGGTGCACTTCCCCCCCACCCCCACGAGGGCTGAGGTAGCTAGGGTTTGGGGGCTTTCAGGGCGTAGGGGTTTGAGGGTTTTGGGTTTAATTCGAAATGCAAAATGTGGTTCCATGCCTTCGAGCTCGAGACTATAGAGGCCTGAAGAACGAGCGAACTGTTCCTTATAGCCAAAGTCGAAGCCCTAAGCCCTAGACCCCCGAAACCCCTAGGCCCTATAAGCCCTAACCGCCTAACCATCCATAAACCATAAAGCCTAAGCCCTCGACCTGCCCTGCTTGGGGGACCAAGGGTTTAGGGTTGTAAACAGGATGACCGCCTTAGTTTCAGTTTCTTATACCTCCACTCAAGGTACGAATAACCGTACTGGCTTAGTCCCATGATAGTCCAAGTACGCCCTACCCATAGGCCCCTAAGTAGTTCCTTTTTATGGTTCATATTTAGAATCCTACAAGGTAATCCCAAAAAGGAACTACTTAGGGGCCTATGGGTACAGCTCAGGTGTGAACCGTGTCCAGAGGGCCTGTTTTGTCCAATGGGTGTGGGTCTTCCAGTACAGCGGGAAGGACAGCTGCGGGGGAAGAATTCTAGTGAACTAGGGCTTAGGGCTTGGGGCGCCGGGCTTTGCTTTCGGTTTTATGGCTTCGGGTTTAGAGTTTAGGGTTGTGATTTTGAACAAGTCCTTCAGATCCAGCCCTTTGGCTGTAGGGCTTGTTTGAATTTGGGCCTAGAATTAAAAGCGGTTCCCCAAAGAGGCCATGATTTTGACAGTTGCCCACATGGATAGCTCTCTAGATTAGGGTCCCTGCTTAGGTCTCCCAAAAACGGCACCCACGGATTTTGATTTAGAGAACTACCCACATCGATCAGGGTTAGGGTTCAGGGTTCGAGGTTCAGGGTTTCGGGTTCAGGGTTGCGGTTGGTACTGCATCATCATGACATGGTGTGGTTCTTCTAAGTGAACCCGCCATTGCCAACCTAGGGCTGAGGGTTCTAAACCCTGAACCCTGATGTCCTTGGGTTGAGGGTTCCAAACCCTAAACCCTAAGCCCTAAACCCTAAACCCAAAACCCTAAGCCCTAAACCCTAAACCCTAAGCCCTAAGCCCTAAACCCAAGACCCTAAACCCAAGACCCTAAGCCCTAAGCCCTAAACCCAAGACCCTAAACCCTAAACCCTGAAGCCCTTGGGTTGAAAGTTCAGGGTTTAGGCTGCAGCCGCCTTGGGAGCTGACTTTCGGTGAAGCTTGGGCTTGGAACCTGCAAAGCCTTGCCCAGACCTTAACTTGCAGGGTTTAGGGTTGTGGGTTTAGGGTTGTGGGTTTACGGTGTTGGGTTTGGAGTGTTGAGTTTAGGGTTTTGGGTTTAGGGTTTTGGGTTTTGAGTTTAGGGTTTTGGGTTTAGGGTTTGGGGTTTGGAGTTTAGGGTTATCCGAAAAAAAGGGGTCCAAAAAATCAGGCTCTAGTCTGGGCACATCCCAGACCTGCCTTTGACTGATGACTGCTTTAGGGCCCTAGGTCTCTTGTCAACAATGCGTGTCGTAGAGCTTTTTCGTATGTGCGTTATACACAGTTTCCGAGCGAGCCTGAGGCCAAATCACTTAGTCCCTACCCATAGGCCCCTAAGTAGTTCCTTTTTGGGATTACCTTATAGGATTCTAATTATGAACCATAAAAGGGAACTGCATAGGGGCCTATGGGTAAACCCTAAGACCCAAAGCCATAAGCCCAAGGTCAACCCTACTTAGAGGATCATCGGACTTAGTAATTATTAGGGATATAAATAAGGAAACTTTAGATATTCATTTATAACTCCAATTAAGGTACTTATAACCTTAATTACTAAGTCCCATGATCTAAGCAGAAGACGCAGGATATTGGACTCCTGCTGCCACGCCGGGGCAATGTGACTTCTCCGTTCTTCGATGTCGCAGTGCAGCTCAGTGTCCGATGAATGTGCCTTGCATGTTTAGGGTTCAGGGTCTAGGGTCTAGGGTTTAGGGTTTAGGGCTAGGGGCCGGACGAATTAAATTTGTGCTGATTGTAATTTGTAGTCCTGATATCATAGGATAACCTACCCCGAAACACTAGTCACTGGTCTAACTATTGTGGTCTGCGAGCCCAAAGCCTCAACAAATGAGTCCTTAGAGTCTAGCGCCACGACTTTTGTTGGCTGGTCTTTAGGATTGCATATGAAACCTCGCTCCCATCCTCGTCCAAAGCTACACAGTCTCTGGCTGAAGCTCTGGACTGTCATTACCCTTCGGCTCCACTGACTCCTGTCGTAAGCCTTTTGGGCCCAACACCGTGCTGCGTAAGGGTTTTGCGGTTCTGTTGAGGTTTAGGGCCAACGCAATGATCGGTATGACCTCGTCTGGCCCACCTCAGTACGAAAGCTGAGACCAGCCCCACAACCTAACAAGCACAGGGGCCATAGTACATAAATCTGGTGGGCTATGTTGAGCCTTGGGGAGGGGAAGTTTTCAACGAATATAACTCTTGCATTATTGTATACTAGTAGCATATAGTATTCTGCTATACTCTGCTAGCTTAATTGGTATTATGATATATTTGACTGTGGTATACTATATGCTATAAAGGACACTGTATAGTATTTTGTATCACAGTACAGCAGCATAATATAGTGTAGTATATTAGTGGATATTATGTTATATGAGAATATGATATATCAATATATTACATTATACTATACTATAATAGATTATAATACATTATAATACGTTATGTCATGTTGAGGTGCTGGGCGGCTGTGCAGACGGACGCACCGGCATGGCCTGCGCCACGTCTGCAGGGGTTCGTGGGTTTACGGCTTTACTTGAGTATCTGCGGGTTTAAGGCTTTAGGGTTTCAGGGTTTCGGGTTTAGGGCTTTACGGTTTCAGGCTTTAGGGTTCAGGGCTTGGGGGTTTAGGGCTCCGTACTAGCATGTTGCCTACTAGGATGGCGCGAGCTCAGAGAGCCTGATACTCCGATACGCCTTAACCAAAAAAGGTCGTATACCTGAAATTGCAGGGCCCTTGGGAGTATATGGTCTAAGAGTTTAAGGTATACTCATGGGTTTAGGGATTAGGGTTTATACTCAGAAAGGCTTTCGTAGTAGTATAATTTCAGGGCACGTTCATACTGCTCCTCATTGAAGGGGTCCTGGGCTCTCTGGGGCCCCTTTCCACCACCACGAGGACTTTGTTTGAGACACCGCAGACCTTCCAAAGTCCCCTTACTTCAGGAACATACCTTAAACCATTTTGGGGATCCGACTACTCATTCAAGGTATATGCTTTAATTCGGAGAATCCTACAGCCCAATCTCTATAATTGAAGGCATGTTCCTTAACTAATGGAACCCTAAAGCCTAATCCCTATAATTCAAGGTATGTTCTTTAACTAAGAAAACCCTATAGCCTAATCCATACAATTTACCCATAGGTTCCATAGTAGTTCCTTTTTGTGGTTTATATTTAGAATCCTACAGGGTAATCCCAAAAAGGAACTACTATGGAGCCTCTGGGTAAGGTATGTTCCTTGATTGTCTGGGACCCTCCCAGCACACAGAGGCAACAATTGTCAACAGGGGAGCTTCGCCACGGAAGATGGCTCTTGATGCTTGGCGTCACAATGAGGCTTCTTGCAAGATACGTTAGAACTTCCAATATCCCTTATAACTTACTTAAGGAATATACGTCAAGCTTATCTCTTGATTAAGGTATATTCCTTGACTGAGGGATTTTGGAAGGTCCGGATATGTTAGACTGCTAGGTGATGGCAGCGATGATGGGGACGAGCATGCCTATTAGAGTCATCAGACCTCGATGATCCACATTAGAACCATAATGCCCCTTGCAGTGTGGTGGTGATGCCGTCGGTGTGGTTCTGAGATTTCTAGAAATTCCGTGGATGAGGATTGTGATGACCACGACGGTAATGGACATAATCACAAGACAAGGAGTCGCTGTGGTTTCGAGTCCGAGCTCAAAGGTTTCCTGTATGCGATATGAGTCTTGAGTACAGTCTTTAGTCGTGCCCTTACAAGCCCGCATTCCCAACGGAAAGCAGCTGTTCTGGGAAGTCGCCATCTCTTGAAGTGTCCTACAAGTCTAAACTTTGTGGTTACATGTCCAATCTTGAGCCTGCAAGCCCTAAGCCTAGGAGCCAATCGAAGTGTTCTGCCAAATTGTCTACTGGCGCTTCCATCCGGAAAACCGAAGCTGTTTCCGGGGAGTGGGCGGGAGGGTCAAGCGTCAGAGCCTCGAGTCTGCTGTGAAACGTGGGCGTAACTCACTCAATAACCTTCAGCTCCTGAGATATGCAGAGCTTTCCTCAACCCTCCTAGACCCCTGCTGTCTTGAGCTGATGGGGCTGATACGGATAAAGCCCATAAGTCCTCTCCGCTCTAAACCCTGTAGACGCCCTACAAACCCCAAACCCCAAACCTTAGACCCTAAACCCTAGACCCTAAACCCTGAACCCCAAAGCCTCTGACCCCTTGAGAAGCCTCTGAGGTCAAAAGTGTCAAGCCGCTGATGCCCTGCCTGCTACGATTATGGCCATCGTGGCTTTGCTCCTTGGGCCTATAGGGCTATAGGGTGTGAGGTCTATAATAGGGTTTCTGACTTGGGAGCTCTATTCTAGGATTCTAGGATTTGGGCTTTTGGGTGCAGGGCTCGGTTCATGTTGCGCAGTTCCCTCCGCTTGTCAGCTATTTCCGTCAGCATGCGCCTTGCCCTACAGACGGTCGCGTTTAAAAACTACCCTCAAACCCTAAATCCTGAATGTTTTCAGTCCTAGCAGCCTGGAGCTCTGTTTCCCGATGTCGTGCGTCACTGAACCAACTCGGTCTTTGGAATACGCGGGCCGAAGAGTTGCTGTGCAAATCCAAAACCCGGGAACACCTAAGCACGAAAGTTGCCACACTCCGGCAACTTCGAGGTGCCAGTTTGATTGTTCGGTTCTGGTACTTGGGGCTACATCTGCAAGCAAGGCGTCCTTGCGATGGTAGGGACATCGAACAGTAGACGCCGAACTGCTGTGAGTCCTTGCTGAGCCCCACGGAGGACTCCGATGCCCAACAAGCCTTATCACGATACGAAGTCTAAACCCTAAGCCCTAAACTATAGTCATCCAAGGAATTCATGGTTCGTTACCTGGGACATAAGCCACAGGGAGTACGCAGACAGACAACTCGCAGACACAGAAATATCCCGCAGTTATCGGTGGTAAAGCGCCTTGAACAAATCAAACCCTGCAGCCGCACTCTCTCCCCCAACCCTAAACCCCCTACACCCTAAACTCCCTACTCCCTAAACCCTAAACCCCCCATACACCCCAAAACCCGTGTTAAGTAAGCCCCTATGTCTTTGCAGCGGAACTCGGCCCCCAAGCCCTCCTCGAACAGCACAAAAAGCAACACCTCCTCCCCCCCCGCAGCAACAGCAAAAACAGCAGCAACAACAAAACAAAAAAGCACTCTTTACGCCCTTAGATACTCTGAGGCTGATACTGATCCTACTTCTCTCGTCGATCAACGCGGATCTCAACCAACAGAGCCTTAGCATCCTCACCGTCGCGGCGATTGGCGGCCAAATGGCTGCTTGGCTATGGTAGATGCAGGATCTTGGGTTGGTTTTTTCGTTTAGGGATTCAGGGTCAAGGGAGTCTGAGTTGAGGGCTCAGGATGATAAGGTTTTAGGTGGGAATTCGGAATTGGTTTTAGGGTCTAGGGATCGAGGGTTTGAGTTTGAGGGTTTAGGATGTGTGGGCATGCTTTTGTATGGACTTTGCAGGAGAGGGTGTTAAAAGGTGAGTGGATTGCTGTGGAAGGTTGAAACTTCTCTATTCTTGACTCCACACTGCCAAAGAAGGAATGCTACCCCAAATGTATCCCTAAGCCCTACACCCTGCCCTAGACCCTCTGGGTTACTTGACATGGGACGCATTCGCCCTGTGAGAGCAATGTTTTTGGCCAAAGGGACCTTAAACACACAGTGAGTTGATAACACCGCATGATTCGCACAGATTTCGGGTTCAGGTTGCAGGGTGCAGGGTTGGAAGCGTCGTAGCACACGCATACGGAGACAGCCCCTTCACGACAGAGCACAATCAGCCAAGCAAGTACTTAGAGGATCATGGGACTTAGTAACTAGGGCTATAACTGAGGCAACTAGAGCTGTAACTAGTTATATCTCCAACTAATACTAAGGACTTATAACCTTACTTACTAAGTCCCATGATCCTCTAAGTAGTGGCACATTTCTATAGCTGAAGGTGGGGTCGCCCGACATAAACACCGAGATCGAATCCCGCAAGAATCCCCTTTCGGAGAACCAGCGGTTCCTCATCACCGGAGGTTGTTTAATAGAGGGGTTCCTTCTTCCTGAGTATAGTATGAGCTCTGTTCTAATGATTAAGGCCCCTATATTATCGCATTCTGGAAGGTCCTAGCGTGAAATTGGCTTACTTCGAGGTTCCAGGATTAGATCCTCAGTCTTGACACCCGTATACGGACAGCTTCTGCTAAAGCCTCAGCCCCGAACCCCCGAAGACCCAATCCAAAAAACCCTAAAGCCCATAAAACTCCAAGCCCCTAAACTCCACAGGCCTTAAACCCTAAACCTCCCTCACGAGTCTTCGGGGTCGTGTCTTGAGTTATTCTTGCTTCGTTGCAAGCCGCCGGCTCACCTCTAAGATCTTGACCTTGAGCCCTAAACCCTATAACCCTGAACCCCTAAGCCCTAAACCCTGAACCCCTAAGCCCTAAAGCGCTTAAACCCTAAACCTTATAAGCTCTATAAGCAGCGATGAAGCTGAAACGCCTTAGACCCTAAGCCCTCAGACAAGGTGCCTTGAATAATTGAAGCAGGGTTTTGGGGCAAATTGGGGCTTTGCGGTTTTGGGCGGTAAATTAGGGTTTAAAGGTTTATAAACGTTTTGGGGTATAGTAGGGTTTGGAGGGTTTGGTTAGGCTTGAGGGTTTGGGCGTTTTGATTGTATCAAACCCTAAACCTTAAGCCCTAA